CCAAGTACCTGTTTCCAGCCAGGCTCACAGCAGTGTTTCTTACCTTCCACAATGTTAATAGAACCTCCATCACACTTCAAAGCCTCCTCTTGGCTTATAATTTGGATTTCAATTCTTTATCTCTCCTTGACTTTATTCCTCCATTGATTTACTCATCCTTTTGTAATTAACTATCTCATTCAACCAACAAAAATTTCAACTCTAAATAGATGTTACTGTGAGCATCTAGTATGTATGATTCAACATAGTAGACTAGTATGAACCCCCAGTATGAATCTGGAAACACAGGGAGCTATATGAACACACTTACTGTCCTCATGAGCCTACTGGTTGGTGTAGCTGATGGGCCAGGCAATTTCTAGGTGGTGTGAGGAGGCCTTCAATATGGGGCACACTAAGCTTTCACCCACTTTTTCATTAAAAGGCATATCCTTGTTGGGGCATCTGGGTGGCTCAGCTGGTTGAGCTTCCCACTTTGGCTCAGGTCATAATCTCACAGTTCATGGGTTTCAGCCCCCTGTTGGGCTTGCTGCTGTCCGTGCAGAGCCTTCTTTGGATCCTCTGTCCCCCTCTCTCTACTCCTCCCCACTCTCACTCACTCTGTCTCTCGAAAATAAATAAACATTTTTTAAAAAGGCATATCCTTGGTATTCCCCCACGAAATGCACATGAGTCTCCATGATCCACTGTACCTCACACACAAGAAAGCACTGGTCTGGTCTGATGTAGAACATAATTCAACAAATGATTAATGTAGTTAAAATAAAAATAAATAAAATCTGGAGGCAATAGTTTTCCAAATAGGGTATGAGAGTCTGAGACTAACAGGCAACCCAAGAGTAGAAGAGTTGTCAGTGGCCTTCCAGCTGCCCTGATGGTCTGCAGACCAAGACAGTCCACCCTCCTGCCCTGAACTGAGGGGCAGGAGTTGACATGTCCCATTTTCCTCTAGTGCCCAGAATTCCTGGAACTACTGAAATCATATCTATCTCTTTTTCAAACACTCTTTATGGCTCAGCCCAGTTAGATAACTCAACTGTGCATTGACGTAAGTCCACCTAATGTATTTGGTGATATTATTTTCTCTTTCTTACTGTTTCTTGTATTGTGTTTTTTTTTTTTTTTTACCTTACTGAAAACTACCTTTACTTTTGAGCCGACTGCTCTTCTTCCCCCCCATACTCCTTTTCCCCAAAGAAGGAGACAAGAGTGAAAGTGGCACAGGAGACTGGATGTGCCCACTTTGTTGAATATGGGCTAGAGGTTGTCCCTCTACTGTGTCCAGCCCTTTGTCTAAGGAGAGGCATTGGTGAGAAAGCAGGCTTCCCTGGTCAGTGTGATAACCTGGGAGGAGGTGGGTGCTCTGAACTCTGTCTTGGAAGCTCTAGAGGCTCAAGGGAGGCAGCTGATTTCTAAATGGAGATGGAGTGTAAGAAAAGAGGGCATGCGAGTGCATTCCAGCTGAGTAAAGTGTGAAGTATAAGGACCCCAGGTCAGAGAGCCCAGGACATTTGCCAAAGTCCTACAATAAATCTTGGTCCCTGGGGAGGGGAAGGTGGGAGTTGGGGTTGGAACAAGTGGTGAGGGTCTTATATGATATGCTAAGGAATTTGGATACCATCAACAGATTTTTCAGGAGGGGTCTTCCCCAGTGAAATTTGTATTGTAGAGCAAACACATCACACCAGCCAACTATCCCAGGTAGAAAATGGGGAGTAACCTTGTCAGGCAGGACACAAACTCAGAATCCTCCATCTGAGAGATGACAGATGACAGTGGCTCAGGACAGAGGTAGTGGAACTGTGTGTGGGCTTTTCTTTCAGAGATTTTCTGAATTTTGGTCAGTTTTGATGTTTTTAGTCTTGGAAAGATCTTTTAATTTTCCTTGGACACTCAGATAAGCTTGCAAAACACTTTCAGTGCCAAGGACTCAGAGGCATGTGGGTCATTTCATCCCCCCCCCCCCCCAAAGAAATGGGTTTAGAGTCTTTTGGTGAACTGGTGTTTGGCAGCAAACAATACCCAGAAAAATTATTTTGCGAGGAGTAGGTTGTTGGTGCTTTGACCCTTGACATCTATTCTAAAAAATTAAGATTAGAAAACAGCCTTGGGTTCAACCTCCACGGGAAACGAAGCAGAAAGAGTACTTGGTGAATAACTATCAGGACCCCAGCAAAATCTTTGTGAGGAGGAGAGCATGGAAATAAGAGGCAACAAGGCTTGATTCTTGTCCCATGTGATTTACCATAAGGTGGGACAATGAAACATCACACGTTATGTTATGTAATTAAGTGGTAGAGATTTTGTGGCCAGGATGGAGCTAAGTGACTGGAAGCTGCTGCGTGAAGGAGGGCTTGCAGGAGCCCTCAGGGGCTGCAGAGAGAGACAGGAGAAGGTGTGCAGACAATGAGAAAGTGACGCACAGGGGCTGGGCAGGAAGACACCTGCCCCAGGGGCTCTGGGCTGGGCCAGTGTCAGCTCCAAATAGAGCTGCTGCGCACAAAGCTTTCACAAAGATCACGCGCTCAAAAGAAGCTGGCATCTTACTGTTTTGAGTGATGATTCCACGTCCTTCTCAAAGTGTTAAATAGTCCTGGGCCAAGAATTTGGATAGGAAATGCAACCCTGATGTTGGCGTGGCTTTACAAGAAAGGGCGGGCTTGTGCTGGGGCTGCTTGGCTCCCCATGGAGGCAGATTCTCTCTTCTCATCCTCAGATACGTCCATAGTCCCTGGAAAGGGAATCTGTGGACCCTTTTTCTGGGAGTTGTGCTGGTTCCAGATAGGTTGAGGGGTTTTAAGGAGGAATGGATCTAAGGGGTGCCTGGGTGGCTCAGTCGGTTAAGTGTCTGACTTCGGCTCAGGTCATGATCTAACGGTTTGTAAGTTTGAGCCCCACATCAGGCTCTGTGCTGACAGCTCAGAGCCTGGAGCCTGCTTTAGATTCTGTGTCTCCCCCTCTCTCTGTCCCTCCCCTGCTCATGTTCTATCTCTCCGTGTCTCTCAATAATAAATAAACATTAAAAAAAATTAAGGAGGAATGGATCCATTTCTCCCTTTTCCAGCTCTCTCCACCCAGGGGGCAGAATGGCCCGGGAGCTGATGGGGTTCCGAGGGGAGGGCTTCTTCATGGAATTGGAGAACACGAGACATATTCATTGCCCTTGTTGGGCCACTTGTCTCTTCTCAAGGATAAAACTATAAATTCCTCGCAAGGTACAAAAACAGTTTTTAAAAACCCATTCTGGGCAATCAGAAGGTCTAACCCCGACCATCGGTTACGGCAGGGAAGCCGTTGCATTTGACGGTAGAAACCCGGAAATGGCTCTGTGTGGTGCAGGCCTGTCAGCGCTGAGATGGAAGCACGTCCTTGGCTTTCATCTCCAGGGTTTTCCAGAACTCTCTCTGCAAATGCTTCAACTAACAGACACAACCTCCTGAGGATCTCAGAGTTGTCAGAATTTGAGAAGATCTTTGACATTTTAATAATACTGGCTTTGATTTGTCCCCTCTGAAAACAAATCCAAATGAGCCCAAATCTCTGGATGCGACCTGCCCCTTTAATGTGTGTATTAGTCAGGTTGGGCTGGGTTATGGTGCAGTGAACAAGCATCCCCCAATCTCAGTGGCTTAAAATCTGAAAGGTTTATTTCTCTTTCTCATTACATGTCCATTGTGAGCAGGCTGGGGCCCTGCTCCATACCTGGGCCTTCAGAGTAAGCACCTTCCCTGGGTCTACTGGTCCCCAGGCCAGATGTAAAAACAATGCACCTGGGTGGCTCAGTCACTTAAGAGTCAGACTTTGACTCAGGTCATGAGCAAGTGGTTTGTGAGTTCGAGCCCCGTGTCAGCCTCTGTGCTGACAGCTCAGAGCCTGGGGCCTGCTTCGGAGTCTGTGTCTCCCTGTCTCTCTGCCCCTCCCCCGCTCATGCTGTGTCTCCCTCTCTCTCAAAAATAAATAAACATTAAAAAAAAATGCCTGGTGAATCATCGCTGCTTTCTAGAGCTTCTTTCTGCATACAGACCACCTCTGCAGGCATTGCTTTGGCCTCAGTCAGACACGAGGCCACTTCTAACTTCAAGAGGGAAGGAAAGGCAATCCATGGTGTGCCTGGAAGGAGAACAGGAGATTTGCCGACTCCCCAGCTGTGTGACCTCTGAAGGGTAGGGATGAAATGGTGTTGCAGTCTGGTTTAATGGCCTGCAAGCCAGATTTTCTCTTATTAGTTCTCACCATTAGGCAAATCATATACTTCTAAGAGGTACCATTCCCTTATTTCCTTATCCTTTTAAGAGGGAGTTGGGTGGGAAAGGTGGCGAATGGAAAGGAATAATTATACCTGTTCCATTTGCCTCATAGGAGTGCTGTGTGGATCAAAATAAGTCAACGCCAGTGATAGTGAAATATGAAGAGAGAGGGACACAAATATTTTAATGATGGGCTATGCACTGCTCCAGGGAATTGGAACTCAGAAGTGGTTGTCGCGAGCAGCTGCATTTATTAGGGGAAGGTCGCAAGTGACCAAAAACAAAACAAACAAAAAAAAAAAACACCAAAATAGTTGTAGCTTAAATACGGTAGATCTTTGTTTGTCAGATAAAAACTGAGAGTGTGCAGCCAGGATGGGGATGACGGTCTCACAATCCTCAGGGCTTTGGATCCCTCCACGTTGCTTCTTTACCATCCCCCATGTGTCTCCCTAGTTTAGCCCAGGTTCCCCAGAAACCAGAGCTTGAGGCAAAAGCAAAGGCACTCACACTTTATTGGAGAGTACAGCCCCAGGAAGCAAGATGGAGGGGGAAGGAGAGTGAGGCAGAGGTGGACAGGGTGAACTACAAAGGACTGCATCACTAAGTTCATCACAGCTTTTGGCAAATGCAGCCAACTGTTGGGTCTTGTGGGATGTTTCCAGAAAGGTCGATCGGGGCTTGGATCAGGAAATGTGGGAGGAGGAAGGGAGAAGAATTTGTCTGACTGGTCCTCTCTCCCTTTGGTCAAAGTTGACTTTCGCAGGGTCCCTGGACTTCGAGGTGCTACTGTCCGGCATCTCCTTCAAGGGAAAGCCAGATCTCCAAACAGCGGCAGAACCAGGCATGTAGAGCCCAGTGAGTGACTAGGAGTCAGTGGGGCTCTCTACCTGCCCATCTCATCCAGGGCACAATAGGGCCTGGCCTGGAGGACAGTGTCCCCGCTCAGGTAAGCAGGTCCTCTGGTGTCTTGCTCCTCAGCAGCAACAGGGAAGCCTTGGGGCAGGAGGTGAAAGGGATGTGACGGGAGGCATGAAGTAATGTGCTGCTGGGCTGTACCTGCAGGCAACATGAGGAATCGGGAACATCCACAACAATGGGCCCGGCCCCGCCAAGCAGGTGAAATGTCACGGCACCCTCACCTCTGCCACAAGATGGCATGGAATTCAACTGGCCTCCCTTTAGAAAATCCAAACCTTCTCCGACTTACAAGAATGTGGTTGAGGTCAGGTGATCCTCTCAGAGGATTATTAGTGGCGTCGAGCAGAGAAAGTTTGTTTGAGCAGATCCGGAAGATACATAAACTGGCTGTGATGTATTCCACAGGCCATCGTGATGCATGAGTTCCAGCCATCGTGTCCCTATACCTAACAAGGAAGATGAAAGGAAACTTCGCACATGACACCCTTGCTGACCTCCCTTCAGCCAGAACTCAGTCCTAGCAGCACACATAGATACAAAGTGTCATCTTTATTCTTGGTGGTCTTGTGACCATTTAAAAACTGGCTAAAAGAGGGGCCCCCTGGGTGGCTCAGTCGGTTATGAGTCCGACTTTGGCTTAGGTCGTGACCTCATGGTTCATGGGTTTGAGCCCTGTGTTGGGCTCTGTGCTGACAGCTCAGAGCCTGGAGCCTGCTTCTGATTCTGTGTCTCCCTCTCTCTCTCTGCCCCTCCCCCACTCGCACTCAGTCTCTCTCTGTCTCTGGAAAATAAATATACAGTGAAAAAGTTTTCTAAAAATTAGCTAAAAGAACAGACTACTAGGGCCAATTGGCAGTTTGTGCCACAGCGGCCAAGGTTGAGAGGCCCTGAGTTAGCACAGCAGTGTCCCCGAAGTGGGTCCTCATTTTAAACAGACATGAGCTGGGATGTGAGAGAGGTAGGGATAGGTGAATGCAGGTGGGGAGCATTCCAGGGGAACACAGAGATGTGGAGGAAGGAAAAAGGGGGGAGCAGGGCAATGGGAGAGATGAGAGGGTGAACGGAGAAAGAGAAAGAGGGGCAGGAGGATCCCCACCCCTCAGACTAGGCTCTTTTAGTTTCTATGGATACCACAGGCTCTTTAATAGCAGCAGACGAAGATGAGCAAGAAGGTGGGTTCCTGTTGACAGCAGGACGTCCATCCAGCCAGGGCTGCACACACCTCATGCTGACCTTGGCCTGCACCTCATCATCCCCTGCCCCTTGTCCTAGAAACCTGGCCAGCTAGCCTGCTTCGGATTCTGTGTCTCATTCTCTTTCTGTCCTTCCCCGACTTACACTCTGTCTCTCTCTGTCTCTCAAAAATAAATAAATGTAAAAAAAAAAAAAAATTTAAAACAAAAACCTGGCCAGCTAGATACTCCATGCTTAGTCTGCCTCCTTCTCCTCCCACATTCTTAGATAGGAAATCAGATGAGTTCCTTCTAGGTTCGCGTGCTCCAGATTTACTCCGTCAGTCTGGCATCAACCTCGGGACCTTCTGTGGCTCCCCTGCACTCTGAAATGGCCCTTCTTGTGTCTGAGAGGCTTCCAGGGAGACACAAAAAGGATCCAGTTTGCAGGACATTAAAGGTCAAACCAAGAGCCTCCCCTCCCCCTCTGCCAGGGGGCACTTGGTCTCCTAGGAGAACAGACCCTTCAGAGACATTTGATCAGGATGGGCTGGTTTGGCCTCCCCTACGTGCATTCGCATTGTGCATCGTGCATCGGGACTGAGCCAGACTATGGAGGGAGGCTCCCTCCCCACCTGGCTGGTCCTGAACTGAAACTAGTTGGTGCCTCCCCAAACCTGTGTGAACTGAAACCACCCAGTTTCCTCAGACAGCCCAGCCTTGTGCGTCATCTTGCTGCATTTTCTCCTGCCCTGAAGGAGGAGCCTGGCTCCACTGTGTGTCTCAGCACTGTGAGACAGTTGGTTCTGGCCTTGGCCTCGATGCTGTCACCAGGGAAGCCTCCACGCAACCTTGGGACATGTCCTGGGCGTGTCCTGGGTGTGTTGGGCACCAGGAAAAGATTCTGCACTCTCTTCGTTTCCCTTGCCCGAGTCCGGGTGGGAATAGTGAAGGAGCTGTGAACCAGGGGTGGCTCTGGCCTTCCTTCCCACCTTCTTCCCACACAGTTCTAGAAGCTGCCTGCTGAGCCCTCTGGAGGGCAGCACGGGTGATGCAAAGAGAAGGGGTTCAAATCTCAGCTGCCCCAGGTACTGTGCAAGGTTGGCATGAGGCTCTCAGAGCCTCAGTTTCCCTGTCTGTAAAATGAGGGTATTACTTAGACCTGATCAGGTTGTAGTGAAAGGCCCTGGCATATCCTGAGTCACTGTTCTTCCCAGCCCCCTCTGCCCCAGTTCCTGGGACCAGAGCAGCTCGCTTTGCCTCCTGTATGAGGACCAGCACTTGCGTGCTAATTTGACACCAGCAATGCCCAGTACGTGCTTCCTCTGAGCTACATTCCAATGAAGGATGTTTGTGCATCCTGGCCGGACCGTGGGGCATCTGCAGTCTCAGTGGAGAGACCATGGGGGTTTGCGGTTTCTTTTTTGTGTATCGGTGTTTGCCGCAGTCCCAGGAGCCAGGTGGGTGGGTGCTGTACTGGACATGAGAAAGTGTGAAAGCATCAGGCCTGGTGCACAATGGTCTCCATTGTCAGCCACCACACTCACCTTCAGGGCAAGCCTCGCCTCGCCCTTCAGTTCCCAAGGGGATCCCTGCACTGATGCTGTGGGAGGCAGCCCCCCATCCCCAGGGCTGGCCTGGTTTTCCAGGTGCCACTCTATAGCCTCAGAACGGCTGTCTCCAAGCAGGCCCTTCTCCACTGCCCTCTCTGAATAGCACCTTGGCTAAAACTTCCCCCATAACCTCATTTCCACCTCCTTCCCCTCCCACCCCATCACCGTCCCTTGGTATTCCCTCAAATCTTTTCCCTTTAAATTTTATGTTGAAGAAGGGCACCTGGGTGGCACAGTTGGTTAATTGTCTGACTCTTGATCTCAGTTCAGGTCATGATCTCATGGTTGGTGAGTTTGAGCCCTGCATTGGGCTCTGCGCTGATGGTGTGGAGCCTGCTTGGGATTCTGTCTCTCCCTCTCTCTGCCCCTCCCCTGCTTGTGTTCTGTCTCTCAAAACAAAACAATAAACTTAAAAATAAATTAAAGAAAAAAAGTTTATATTGAAGAATAATATCTTTTGACTTTTTTCCCCCCCAACAAAGAACACGGTCATAGCTAAGGATTAAGAGGACATCTTGAGCATGCAGGCGGTGATGACCACTCTGTCACAAGCTTCCGGTAACCCTGAGGAACCCCAGCAGCCTCTTGGTGTGGGTTCTGTATTGATTCCAGGAGCTGTCAGGGTGACATGCTCTCCAGGAGAGGTGGCAGTGAAGGGGCCCAGCATCCATGTGGATTAAACAGTGACTCCGGGTGGGAAAGAAAGGTTGGAGGTGGTGAGTTTCTGCAATTCCCCCTGCAGGCATAGGCGGAACTGAGCCACGAGTCTACAGGGGCTGGTCTGAGCACAGACGCAGACGTGGTTACAGACGTGGTTACAGAAGGGAGGGATTTCGGTGAAAAGAGGTAGTGAGGTCATCGCTCTCCCAGGTGTGTTTTGGGAGAAGAATGTCAGGTGGGAGTTGGAGGATTAGGCTGCACTGAGTCAGTCTGCTTCGGAGAAGAGGTGGCCAGCCGGGAGTAAGGGGGTGATGAGAAGTGAGGTGGCCAGAAGGGCTCTGAGACGTTGGCACTGGCTTTGCGCCGGCAGCTCTGTCTGCGCATGCGCAGCTGCCCACCTGAGCCCGTCCCCTCCCTCCACTCGCTCCGCCTTCCCACCCCCAGGCTGCGGAGTTTTCGGCTGGATGAAGTGAAGCAGGCGTCGCTCCAGACTGAAGGGAGGGGAAGGCAGCCGGGGCCTTGTCACTACTTGGTTAGTCCTTCATTCATGCCCAGATTCAGCTCTCCTCAGCCCCCGTGGTTCCCTGATCCGTGGTGGCGCTTCTTTCTAGGTCCTTCCCTAACCTTTTCCCCTTTCCTCCCTGGAGCCTGGGCTCTTGGCGCCCCCTCTCCCCAGCCCCACACTTCAACCACACACTAACGCCTTTTGTCCAGTTTATATTCTTCTTTTTCTTTTTTTTTCTTCGCTACCCCTCGGCAGGTCCTGGGTCGGGAGGAGCAGGGCTGTTCTGCAGAGCGAGGAGAGGGGCATCCAATCCCCCCTTTCCCTTTTGTCGTCCCGGAGATCAGGGAATTCCCACATGTAACTGAGCGCAGCCCAGCTGTCCAAACTGCAGGACGGGGCTGCTGGCAGCAGGGCGCTGCGGGATCAGGGTGGGGGACAGGCAGCCCGGAGCATGCTGTGGCAGGCCCCAGCTTCTAGCCAAGCCCCAGGGCCCGCGCTCTGCCGCTTAGGCAGGGAAGTGGTGCCTCCCTTCCAGTCTCTTGTCTCTATTCCAGTAGTTGAATCTTGAGGCCTGAGAGTGCTGTAAAATTTGACATGGTCAATTCTGCTTTTAAAATGGAAACCCAGGCTCAGTTGGTTAATCATCCCACTTCGGCTTAGGTCATGATCCCCTGGTTCTTGAGTTCCAGCGGGTGTTGGACTCTGTGCTGACAGCTTCAGAGTCTGGAGCCTGCTTCAGATTCTGTGTCTCCCCTCTCTCTGCCCTCCCCCCCCTTCAAAAATAAATAAAGATATTTAAAAAATTAAAAAAAAAATAGAACCCCAAACAAAACCCACTGTCCATTGAACTCCCAATCAGAGAGCAGAGCACTCTGTGGGGTCAGGGGCCTGGCCCAAGTCCTGGCCCTGCCACCAGCTGGCTGAGTGACCATGGGCAGGTCACCTTATCTCTCATGGCCTCGATTTCCACAGTTGTAAATTGGCAGGGGTGGATAATATTTCTCTAAGGCTTTTCTGGTTTTCACTATTACGGCGCTGAGTCCCATTATTGTGAGCAAATAATATGGTCATAAAGTGA